ATTTAATGTGATGAATGCTACCTAGCTGGCAGTATTTTTTTCCACCCCCACATGGTCCTTCTCAGAGCAGTTGGAGCAAATGTGGTCAGACAAGACCTCATTTAGTTCACAAAGGGGAAGAGCACAAGGGTTGTGGGCAGGATGTAAAGGGAATGTGTTCTAGAAGTATGAAACAGAATAACAATGTGTAGCTCTGTAGTGGAAGTTCTGGTCCCTAACTTGTTCCCTTTGTCTTTATCATTGCAGCAGCATAAGTACTTTCCCTCTCTTGTTTCTTGCCCGTGGGGCACTGACTCTGCTAAAGCCATCTGCCACTCCTTGTCATTTTATTGCATGCAGTTGACAGCTGCAGGTGAGAAACAGGGTGGTTAGAAGGGAGCTGATGAGATACTGTTTGTTCGATACCAGAGGCCTCTGTTGGCAAGATAAGATTATTATGTTTTCATCCCTCTTTCTTATCCAGAACTTCTCAGACTATTCTTTGCCAGTGCTATAGAAGGCATGAAAAGTGGTTGTGAAGTATGAAAATCAAATATGGGAAATTTATAAGATCTAGGAAAGCTAAGTAAATTCAGAGTTGGGACCCTTCACCCCTTCTAAAGTTTCCCTTAATAGATGGATGATGTTGACTTCAAAAGTTTCTATGCTTACGTGTATGAGAAACCTGTTAGTAGGCCATAAGTTAATCATGCTGCCTTGAGGTGATACATCATTCATGGTGAAACTGTATTTTTTTGGAGAGAAGGAAGAAATATTTTTCTCATAGACTGACTTTGAAGTAGAACGATGGCTACTGCTCAGGCAAGCAAGTAAAATGTAGGAGTAAATTCTGGAGGACAGTGGATTATAGGACCCTAGGAGGTTTAAAGTCCCTACTTCCACAATACTTTTATTACATAACGATCCTAAGTTATTGTTTGATATGCCCCTCTTTACATATATTCATAGTAGGCCCCATACAACCTTACAACTATGCAACTGCATGTCTATAGATATAGATACAGAATGGAAGTTCTCTATCTTGAGTTCACTGCATCACCGATGAGACTGCTTTTCCCTGAGTATTTTGGGCAAGTGTATTACCGTTAACCCAAAAAGATCCATTTGTAATAGTTTACTGACCTCAAAAAACTGTGTCCAGAGTTTTCTTTCATTTGCTAAAATTCAGGATAACTGAACTCAGCATTGTAAATATCAGTATCTGGATAAGAACAAATAATCTCTAAATTTATTAAACTTCTATTTGGTTGCACATATTTTGGAGGCAAAACTTTCTTCTAGTTACTTCTGACTTGAACGCATATGAGGTGAATGACTTGTGTCCAACAGACATCAGTGTAATGCTGCTTGATATCAAGAGAGAACAAATTTGCCCAATGGCAACCTATTATTTAAGTGCTGCAGTGTCTGTTTTTTAAGCATGACTTTTAACCAAACTGGAGAGAGAAACAGGAAACAAGCAGCTGGCACAGTTGTGTCTCCTTTGGGACTTGCTTTCAATACAATGAGTTATTAATTTGCCTTAATAATTTTCATTATTTTTATGAAAATGACACAAAAATAAACCTTTTTTTGTGCTTTTAACACTTTTTTTAATTCTACACAAGTTAATTTATTTCACATATGTTATAGCCAGTATATAATCTTTGAGATTTTTTTTGTAGGAACTGGGACAATAAGCACAATGATTGCAAGATACAATGCCCCAGGCATTCGTACATGTCTACTG